AAACAAATTGTTCCCAAATAGAGGAATAAAAAATGTAACATGTGTCAATGATGGTTATAATACAAGAAATGCTGACAATTTCTACTATGCAAGTTTGTAAGCTTTCTAAATCTAGAAATAGTATATTTTATGAAGGATTCAGCGCATTTAATAAATTGGTTAGCTCCATAAAAACAGTTAATGACCTTAAGATATTCAAGCGTAAATTAGCTAAGTTCGTCTTAAACATACAATTTTGAATAATATATTTTGAACCTAAATGTATATATGATTTTGTAGTATATAATATTTTGTATGCATATAATTTGTATTCAAATTGACTGTTTTTAAATTAAAAACTATCGATGCTCTTTCATATACGAATTTTGATTACTGAAGTTGAATCTGAACTAGTGAAAAAAACCCTAGGATATTTTCAGCTCAAAATATTTTGAGAGTAAGAGCTCCTTTGATATTGAATGTTGAATTCTGTGAAGAAAAGGCACCAACCAAACTGTGACTGAACCGTTTGATAAAATGTTTGAAATATTCATGAAATTTAGCAAAATACGCGAAATGAACTGATAAATTTAAGGAAACCAGAAAACAAGAAGAAGGTAAGTATCCATTTTTTCATTTCGAAATCAGCATACAATTACTATATTACCCTAGGATATGCATACGCGTTTTAGGTAGCATTAAACATTTCAGTATCATTACACGACATTGAAATTATTTGATATTTTTCTAAACGTAATCAATCTTGATTTTTCGAAATGTACAGTGGAATGATTGCGAGTTAGATCATTCAGGATATTTTTGTAAGTGGTAAAGGTCTGGTCCACATCCACTGCCCAAAAATTGGCAGAATTTGAACTTCAGTGCTACGTTCGAAACCTGTTTGATACCTGTTCAATATGTTTTCAAACGAAAGTCTCAAAAAATCCACCATAGTCGAAATTATTATTATTCAATAGCCACATATTTTGTGACTATTAAATTTATTCCGAATCATGATATTGTCATTTTTATTTTATCTTGGAACGCAGGGCGTGTCTACTGCACTCAGAAAAATATAATGAATGTACCAATAATATAACTAGATCTTAGGTAAAATATGCCATTACCGTTGAAAATGGCTTAGATATGCCAATGCATAACAATGCATATGCAAAGATTAGAATGCATATAATCCGGTTCCCATTTATAACAATCATTTCAATTACGTTGATTATCACAATCGTGTGAGCAAATATTCTCAAGAATTTCAATGAAATTATCGATTTCTCCAGTCGTTACCTATTGAAGCACCTAAAAATACTACTTTTTAGTTCCTCAACTCGATTTTCGTACTTCTATAGAACTACAAACACGAAAATTGCACCTTATTCAGAATTGAAAATGAAAAACAAGATTTGGACGTCATAAGTATTTATTTCACGGGGGTCCATTCAAATTATCGGGTCTCTCAATGCGATCTCTATCACGTTGATTATTGTTTTTAAGAAACTCTCTCACGCTTGGATCTGTAGGAGCAGTACTGATTTCTGCAGTTCTCAATACCTGTGTTCTCAATAGGGTGTTATACCTGTTGAAAATAAAAACTAAAAAACTAAAGAACTTATTATAATACGATTATTAATATTTATAAGGCATATACAGTTCGAATTCCCATTGAAATTCAAAGTAATCAACTTAAAATTGTTTTATCAAAATAAATCTGTACCTATTGATAGTATCATGTAGTAAAATACTTCAAGCTTCGTTTTTCTCTTCAAATAATATTTTGAACAGAATCTGGTATAAAATATCGAACCCTCTAACGTATGATCCGAAGCTATTAAGGGCAATTAGTAACTGCTGGCGTTCTGATATATCTAGTAGCCTGTCTTCTCTATATTAGCACTCACTCTATGATAATGTCACAGAGTGCTTATTCGCAAATGTCGGTCGATTTATCTGTCCACATTCGCGCGCTTTATTTATCGGCCTGCTGTGATTTCTACACGTGTATGAGCCACGTGCTATTTCTCTCATTACGTTTGAATAGTGAAATGAAACTCTCCCACAAAATATGTCTGCATACACCCGCACACACACACACACACACACACACACACACACACATATATATATATATATATATATATATATATATATATATATATATATATATATATATATATATATATATATATATATATATATATATATATATATATATATATATATATATATATATATATATATATATATATATATATATATATATATATATATATATATATATATATATATATATATATATATATATATATATTAAGAAAATGAACACTAGAACATTCATTTGAAAAATTGAAATTAATCAAGAGAATATTATAATAGAGCTGGATATGTGAACGTGTACGATGTGATGTCTTCATTATCCTTCAAGGGATGAATGTTAGAAAAATATTGAAATCGGTGCCACACCTGATGGAAGTGCGAGACATATATGTTTTGTTCTGCAAGGAACTCGTCAGTCGTACCACGTCCATCGAAGTGAGGCAACGATTTCAACCTCCAAGCATCTTCTTGTGACTTCAAGCGGAAGATCGTAGAGTAATGAGTACTCTACAATTCCATCTATAAAAATCAGTAGACAACATTTCTCTCAGATTACGGAGAAACCAAGCATCGGAATTTCACATATCTTCTATACCCGTAGGTATATATATATATATATATATATATATATATATATATATATATATATATATATATATATATATATATATTATAGAGTATTCATTACGCTACGATCTTCCGCTTGAAGTCACAAGAAGATGCTAGGAGGTTGAAATCGTTGCCTCACTTCGATGGACGTGGTGCAACTGACGAGTTCCTTGCAGAACCAAACATATATGTCTCGCACTTCCATCAGGTGTGGCACCGATTTCAATATTTCTCTAACATTCATCCCTTGAAGGATAATGGAGACATCACATCGTACACGTTCACATATCTAGCTCTACTATAATATTCTCTTGATTAATTTAAATTTTTGAAATGAATGTTCTAGTGTTCATTTTCCTAAATATTTCATTAGGTGCCATAAGCACAAAAAAAATTTCATTTCCTTATATGATGTAAATTAAAATGAAATATAAATGTAACGAAATATAAATAAAAATATGTAATAAAAATATGAAAATGAACATGAAAAATGTAATAAAAAAATATATAAATGTAACTTTCTCTGACATATATATATATATATATATATATATATATATATATATATATATATATATATATATATATATATATATATATATATATATATATATATATATATATATATATATATATATATATATATATGTGTCAGAGAAAGTTACATTTATCATTTATCTCCACAGTTAGCGCAGGGAATTCTATAAATAACGTTGCTTTCCTTTTCGACAGTATTCCTTGCACTAACTGCGACGAAGTTACTGTTGGTATGACAAGCAGGACCTTAGTAAAATGTTTACATTACATAAAACTGACTCAAGGAGGAAAATACTCTCATCAACCTCCCCGATGCACCAAAAACACCACTATGCACCAGAAAAATACGTGCAAGCTATAATTGTAGATACAGAACAAAAGGACAAAGTAAGAAATTTTTAGAAATGGTACACATCAAAATTCTATGAACTCTAGGGGAGACGCTATAAACTCAGCAGAATATATTCAAACTTATTGGTTTGTCATCATCTGCATGTTTTTAATTTTCTTTGGTTTCAATTTTACATGTGCATGTCTGTGTTTTGTATTTCTTTCCGTGGGTTTGGGACTCAAACTCCAGTAATCGTAAAAACATTCACGATTTTTGAATGCTGTATAATGACTATTCAATATGATACCGACACGTGAACATTAAATATTCTATTCTATGAGTGAAAGTTGACATAACGTCAAATTATTGCTATCTAGATTCATCAAAACAATCTATTATCTCCTAATATTCTTGCCTATTTAATTCTAATAATTCAATTCAAATAACCTAGTTTGTATATGTGTAAATGTCTGTACTCCATGGCAATTAATAGAACAACTTATATTGAAATCTCACTTCTTGAAAGAAATCTTTCATATATTTTCAATTTTATCACAGCTGGATGTTCTCAATTTTCATGTTTTTAGTGCCCCTGTTAAAGAGATGAATAAAATCTCAGGAGCTTGAGCTGAAAGAAAAAGAATTAAACCGTTTTTTGCTGCAAACCTGTAAAATTACATATATATATATATATATATATATATATATATATATATATATATATATATATATATATATATATATATATATATATATATATATATTACATATATATGTATATATATATATATATATATATATATATATATATATATATATATATATATATATATATATATATATATATATATATATATATATATATATATATATATATGAATAGAGGTTTAATGCAGGAAAAAGTATCAACAAAAGAATAGAATACGGTATATCGCGAGATTGAAAGCAGATGTTCACACTTGTTTCTACCTTATTGGATCTCCTCAGTACGGCGTAGCCTAGTTCAAGGTGTAAAACCTGAAGATGTACACAACAAAAGAAGACTCCTCTGATGGAAGTCATCACTTTCAAGCTTCCTCATAAACTCTCCGGTTGTGGAGAATTGGTTATCACTTCTCCTGTGTGTCGACTATTTATCCTTTACGGAATTTCTGAACAGAGAATTTTACTAACAAATGGAGGGGATTTCCAGTCGCGGGATATACCGTAATCTCTTCTTTGTTGATACTTTCCCCCACATTAAACCCCTCTTCATGTGTTAGTCAAATTCTCGGTTTAGAAATTCGATAAAAGATAAATAGTCGCTACACAGGCGAAGTGATGACCACATCATGATGTCCAGAACCGGAAAGTTCTGGACACTTGTACCGAAGATGTACATTACCCAGCATATTTCATTATTTAAACTACTTAAACCATAGACAAACACAAACACCCATGCCTCCCGCGCGGCTCGAACCCGAGTCCTACCGCACCATAGGCGGGAGTTTTACCGACTAAGCTTCGGAGACCGGCTTTTTATGTTATTTACTGAACCGATGATACATTCTAAAATTTCACAGCTGATTGAGTTTTATGCAAGAGCCATCCTATGGATGATGCAATAGAACCATAAAACTAATAATTGATGAGGCTGATACTTGATGTAAATCGATAAACATAATAAAACAATTGTTAAACTGATTTACACACATATTAAAAATAATACTGCATTATTATTATTATTATTAGTCTGCACGTAGCATTTGAAAAAGGTGAATCTCATCGAAACGTACGTCATGCAGTATTATTTTTAATATATGTGTAAATCAGTTTAACAATTGTTTTATTATGAACCATAAAACATTCGGTGCTCTTTTACGAATAAGCGTCTGTAGGGTATCAATGGTTTTTAAATGATAAGATAATCATATTATTTGATTTTTAGGTACCCTCGAAAATTACATTAATCCACGGTTTCTAAAACAAAAATCACATTAATTTATGGTTTCCGAGGATTCACTTCCTACGGCTACCCAGCGCGTAGCGGCGCATAGTTTGGGAACCCCTCGCTATATCATATCATTTAAGATTTCAACTTTTAACAATGAGCGGTGTGAATAAAAACGAGTAGGACAAGTAAGTACTTGAACATATTGAAATGTCAAGTAAACGCCAAAATTGAAGTGAATAAAACAAGTATTTACTCTTACTCGCGAGCAAATACTTGAGGGGCTAGTAAACCCCCGAAAAATGCCAATTTTGGTGTGAATAAACGCACGTCAATACTTCTGTAGCAAGTAAATACTCGTCCATTCGCAAGTCAACCCGACCCCAGACTTGCTGTCGTACTTGTATGTGAACAGAAAAGGAAAAACAACAATAAACATTCAGAAAATGATGACTTCCTTCAAAGGAGGGTTATTTCGTTGTGTTTAACTCCAGGTTCTCACACCTTGAACTTAGCTACGCCGTTCTGAGGAGAGCCAATGAGCTCGAAACACGTGTCAACGGCTGCTTCCAATGTTTATTCAATGGAATTTATTTTTTCATTTTCGAGTAATTTTTACTATAATTAAATTAAATTCAATTTATAAGTTTAATTCAACTTCTGTATTGGTTTCATTGACTAAAACATATACACCTAGAGGTTCTGTTTTGTTTTATGGCGTCATCAAAGCATTCATAGTAGTAGTATTTATCAGAATTTGTTCTTCTATTTTCAATTGCAGTATTGCAATAATTGCAGTTTCCATTTTTCTTTTTCCTAATAACCAGTGTTTTCGCCTAAAACATAATCTTCATTTTGAGAGATATCATCGGAAATGGAATTGCTAACTCACACTTTCGTATTTATTCGAGTTGGGTTCGGGAAAACAAACATATTTCTTTGGTTTTGTTCTCCCGTTACAACGCTGCTTCATAGGTAAAATTGATCCACAATTTGAATCATCAGTATAACGAAAAAGAATTTGCCTTTGTTCCTCTGATATGAATGTGGGCTGAGTATTGAAGCAATCAATACTTCCTGTAGGAAAATATACAAAATGATGATGAAAGAAATATAATAGACCAATGGCACTTACCTTTTTCACAGGAATTGTAAGGGTTATTTTCGATTTGTTGATCTCCATCAGTAATGAATTTCCTAAAATTTTCCTGGAACATAATAGCTTCCTGTCCATATTTACCAAAATCTACACAAACACTGTGTGGAATGCCACAAAGACATTTTGGTTGATGGGTACTTTGTGGGCAAAGACGAGAATCTGTTGGATTACTTATGAAATGTTTACTGTGAAATGTCAAATAATATTGTACTGAAGTCTAAACTCACCAGTACATTGGATTACTGTAATTTGGTATGGAATACGTGCAGGTTGTATTTTCTGGCAGTCCCATTTGTTGATTTTCAGTTGAGCAGTAAAATAGTTGTGGTTTTAAAAAAGAAGGTGCTTGTTGCTTATTCTCATAATACGACGAACCAATGCGTTGTTGGTTATATACTTCCGACATGTTTGCTCTGTCGAACATTTTTTTATCATATTCTTGTGATATCACCATGGGTTTAGCATCTGTGATATCTGATACTGAAAATAATTTGTTAGTATGACATTTAATTGCATAAAAAACTTACAGCGGGGGAATATGTTTTTGTCGAAAATATTGATATTTGAAGATAAAAAAGATCCTTTATTCATGTTGAAATGCCGTGAATATTGAATAAATTTTGCGTAAAATTTGTGATTGAAAAATAATTGTAAAATGAAAATGAATTATTATACTTTTAGGTTGACATTGACATTTTTCAATTCTCATGAAACTTTGACATAACGCTAGAACATTACAGTAGGAGAGCCCATGAGGGTTTGACCGTCATCCATCTGATAACCAGATGACACCTATTTTTCATGAAATATCATCAAGAAAATGATATTTCATGAGAAACCTAAACGAAAGTTGACATAATACATGCCGTAGATCAACAAAAGTTACATTTTCAGATTTTTGGATTACAGTGATGCGTTTGATAAAAGTATCAAACTTATACAGGAGTAGGGAGCTACTCTTGGCAAAACTGTGATATTATAGAATTTCTGAATCAGTAGTACAGCTGCTACAAAGCTAACTTTCAGATAGATATGTAATGCTTAATAATATCAAATTATATAAAGGGTCATACCTGAAGGTGTTCCGCAGGGCTCAATTATTGATCCTTTTCTCTTTCTGATATACACCAAGGATATGAGAAAAAACGGGCAAAATATGCACAATCGATCAATTTGCTGATCATACCCAAATATGTGAAAGCTTTTTCCACGGCTGGAACTCAAGCTATATATTCTGGTAACGGACTGGAGGATGTGAAAATCAATTCGAATATATTGATCTTGAATTTCGAATGATTGATATTGAGGGCATTTGATATATTGATAGTATTTTAAGATGCAGAATATTCATCAATCTATTATTGAGAGAAAGAGACTTTGTGAGTCATTAGTGGTAAGTCCTTAAGCAGATATAGCATATGGGCCATACTTAGATTCTGACTCCTCAGCAAGAATGCAAAGAATTGAAAATTTTTGTTTAAGATTTATTTTCTCTCTTGAGATTATGGATCATTTCTCACATCACTTGAAGGAAATGAACTTATTATGTATATCAAAAAGCCCAGCTTACATGTTCGATAAACTCACGTTTTTTTTTCTAGGTTCATAATGGAATTACCAAAAACACAGATCTCCTCGTGATAACTAAAATAAATTTTTTTTCTCAGATGCTCTTCGTATAGCGCAGCAGAAGTTCACAATTCTGTTCCGCTTGACACCTGATGTAAATCTGGTATGCGGAGTTTTCAAAATTTTTTGAAGACAAGCTTGCTATGTTATCGAGTGTTTTTTAGTCATTCAAACCATTGTAATTTTAATTAATAGTAATTACAAAAGTAGTTCCGATGCTTTAATTGATGATTTTCTGTCTCAATTTTAAATTTCTGTTGTAATTAGCTTTTTGCAATATTTATATTCAATTTCTAGTTATAATGTTTAACTTTGACTTTATTGTTGTGTACTCCTAGCTATTTGTATATTCGTAATGTCGAATCTTTTTATTTGGAACTTGGTTAAGTAGATCAGCAATGCTGGACTCCGCCGGCGATTTAAAAAAAAGACTTTTTATTATTTCAATAATAATAAAAGGTCTTCAATAATAATAGCTTCATGTTATAATAATAACAGCTGGGTGCGACCAGTATATTGAATGCATTAGACATGGGACTGACAGGTGATGACATTATTTTTGTAGAAAAATATTTTGGAACTGGTGACATAACACTTTTATAAAAAAAATCTATGACAAAGATTCATATTTGAAAAAATAAGATCAAAAATTAAGATAAAAGTTTTTTGTCCTAAAGAACTGACAATTTTTAATAAATTCTGCTGACGATTCGCATTATCGAAACAAAATCAAATTATTAACTTGAGGAAAATATTGAAATCAAGGAGGAATTTTGGCTTGTTTTTGGAAAATTTTCTATGGAAGCAAATTTTCGGAGAAGGAAATCTCGAAATATTGCGGTTATATTCTAATATATAAGGCACCTGGGTCGAATATGGCCAGCCGAAAAATATGGCCACATGCCATTATTTCAAAAACGAATTATTGTAATAACTTGAACGCGAGCATAAATTGTCGCTAGTTTAGCATGTATCGGAACGTCGTACCTGTCGCTCCTCCCGCTCGCTCGCTAGTGGACCAGTGTCGACTAGCGGGCGTTAGTAAGTATTGTCCACAAGTAAGTATTGTCTGTAAGTATTTTGTTGGTTTGAATATAAGAATCTTTGTGAATGATATTATGATTTTGTGTGACGATTGTAATTTGATATTTTTTTGTTTAATTGCCAAAAAAAGAAAATGGAGACAAAATCTACATTGGGTAAGAAACCGATTCCTAATCCAGAACAAGAGAAGATTTTAGCCCGTATTATTCGCCTCTGCAAACTGGGATACCCATTGACACAACGTGTACTACGTAAATGCGTAAAGACATTCTGTGATCGAAATAACATTTCAGCATCAGATGGAGACTCGATGGTGGGACGAGAATGGCTGAGAGGGTTTTTGAAACGTCATAAGAATATCAGCAAGCGAAAGGTACAAAACCTAATTCCAAGGCAAGGGCGCAAAACTTCAATAAAACCGTTGTATCTGATTATTTTTCTGAATCAATAAAAGTCTTCGAAGATACTGAGTAATGTATATAAAAACTAGCATAAGTAAATACTAGGGATTTCTTGAGTAAATGCTGCGTTTTGTGTGAATAAACACACTAGCACTTGCTAGTGGTAGTAAGTTCTAGAGTTTTCCCGGACGAGTAGTAAAAAAATGGTGTGAAAAAAATGGTGTGAATAAAACTTTTGAAGTAGATTGTTCTGTATGATATGCTTCGATATTTTTAAGCCTGGTCTGGGGCATGCTAGGCTTTTTCCTAGCATTTACTACCTGTTTGATCAGTCCACAGTTTGTTGTT